GGGGTTTTGTATTCCATAACGTCATTTGTCGGAAGGTTGTTCCTTTACTGAGCGATTCCATAACAACACCGGTTAGATAAAGGTGTCATGACCAATTCAAACCATTATAACGGGGGTTCCACTATGTATTAGTAAGTACAAAAGGAAGAATAAATGAACTTAGGTGGCATCCTGTAGTCATATTTATTTAATTTCGATAGAAAATGATGCCAAAAATTTCTTCTTGTTGTTTGAAGCAACAAAAAGAAAAAAAAGATTGAGGATGAAAATTGTATGACTTGGTCAGAGGTTCAACTACAGAGGGAGTGAGTATTTCTTTAAACATATAAAAAAATGATAGAAATGTTATTTCTTGGTTGGTTCAGTATTCTTTGGCATTCATTTCATTTCTTATTTATCGGTAAAGATATAGTGAATTTGGAATGTCTTACATGGGTACCAATATTAGCTGACATATTGGTACAACCAGTGAGTCTTTTCTCTGTACCCTGAAGTTTTATCCTCTTCATCTTGGGTTTTGGATGTTTCTTTTTCAACCGGGTAGAGATAGGGTTATAATGCAAATGAACAATTGGTAATCACATCCATTTGCTGAACTATTTTTTAGTATCAAGTGCATTATTGAAGTTACTTTCTGAAAACTGAAAACTGGAAACTGGAATATGGTGGAGGTATCCCAAGTTTCATCGTGCATTGTATAATGAATCAGTTTAGTCCTAAGTGGAGAATTAAACCAATTTATAGGGCTTCATTGGGTGTATTAACATTAATTTGGGCTTAGACATTTTTTATTCAATAGTTTTGACCTATCAAGTTAGTAGGTTTGTTATCTGATCGGATCCAGTGATGACAAATTGTACTAAAACAGACTTACTAATGGGCTTAATGAAAGGCTTCTTAAGTGAGTCCTACATGGGATGTGGAAGGAGAATTGAATCAGTTTATACAGTTCGAATAGGTCTTCTATCATTAATTTAGATACTTTGAGTTGGGAGAGTTAGACCTACCAGATTAACATTGTATAACCTTTTCAGCTTACGCGCTCTTTTTCATCCATTATATACTGATTTGGATGGAGTTACCAATTTGCGGTGCATGTTCACCTCTGTATTCAGGTCCATGCTTCTTTCTGTTCTTTCTCCTGTGCTGTGGAATGTTTTCAGTCACTTGTAAAATTAAATATTGTCATTGGAATGATTGCATCATTGCTTTTGAATATCCAAGAAATTTACTTGTTTCACTGGGGAATCAACAATTTGATTGATTTTGTCAATGGATATATAATATATATTTTTTGACAGAAGCAGAAATGCCAAAGTATTTAAGCTGTTGAAGAAGTTGTTGGTGTTTGGCCATCAGTGGTGTGAGGTTTCGTTTTGCTTCACATGTGGGGATGAAAACTGAACCTACACAAAGGAGGCTGAGCAGCAACAGCAGCATCTCAGAAAAAGCCATTCCAACCTGCAAGTTTGTATGATTCGTTAGGTCTTCCCTTCTTTTTCCCCAGAGGACTATGTTTCCACCTCTCTTTTATTATTACAGTGTTTTCTTTCTTTTTCAAAAAAAGGAAAAATTCATTAAATCAAATGTAAAACACTATCTCCTCTCATATCAGATGAGATCAAAACATTTAAATTTGGAAGAAGATCCCCCTTTCAAAATCTGTGGTATCTATGTGTCCTGACAAAATTGGCTGACCAGTTAGCAGAATGATTGCTTTCCCTAAACATATGATTGGAATAACAGACTGCCAATACTTGCACTTTTTTCTTCTTTTCATCCCAACTCATCCCTTTTGGAATCAAACCAGAAGAAAGCCTCATTTCAATTTAGGACATCTTCATCCTAATCTTTTTCTTTATCCTAATCGCTTTTATAATGTGATTTACATCATAATGGTGTATTTCTAGAATAGTTTGTCTCTCTGAACAAAATATCATGTTGGATTTGCATTTGAAGTGTTACAACAGTGCCATCAATATCTATTAACATCCTTTAGACCCACCTAACTCTTGGTGTACTAAATACTCTGTGGAATCTTTAGCTGAAAAGCAATTTGCAGCGTTCTAATTTATTTTGAGAAATGTTGCAGGTGCAATTTCTTCTGACTATTTCATCAAGAATCAGTAAGCTTGGCATCAAATTGCTCAAGCTAGATTAGATTACTTTTGGCTGACTTTTTTTTGTTTTTTTTTCATACTTCCCATTGGGAAATCAATGGCAAGATAATGCAAACCAACCTAAAAGTTAATGAACAGCTTACCAGCTCCTGTGGTGCGACCATTTTCTTCTAGTGCAGGCCTTCTCTGCAAAGCCATCCAAAGAAAACACAGAAGGCTCTCGAAACAGCTGCTCTGACCGCCTGTGCAGGAGGGGCGATGTCTCCGGCGAGGAGTGGTTAGGGGTCGTGAAGGGCGGCGATGGCGATGGCGAAGGCGAAAACGGATACTTGCGGTTACCTGGTCCTACACTGATCGGAAGGGGAGAAGGTGGTGTTGGAGGAGAAGATGAGGGTGAGGCCAAATAAGGCCTCATTGGCACTAAACCTTTTCGAGTGGAGAACTCAGAGAAAGAAAACAAAACAATCTAATAATCTGGTGTGCAGTTGTTGTTGTTGCTATCTTTTGTCTGCCTAAATCTCAGAAGCTTGGTTAACTGCCAGTCCAACTGATGAGCAAAGTTTGATGTGCCTCCAGCTAACCTTCAAATTCTTCAGTTCCATATATGGCCATCTAAATCTGTAAATATATAATAATTATTGCATTCAGCTAAGGGTATAATTGGGAAACAAGTGCACACCATAAGTTCAAAGAAATCAATTCAGCATGAAGTGGATGGATCTGTGGCCTCTTAACTTTGGGTCTCACCAGCCAGTCTTTTGTTTCAGACAACGACAAGTCATAGATTTGCCAAGGAGCAAATCTGGTTCAGAGTATTTATTTGATATCCTTCTGGGTGAACTATAAGAAATTTGATTGTCTGTGGTAGTCAATAAACTGGTACTCTGCAACTGGAGGTAAATGTTCTTGTCTTAATCATCACCACATGCTTCTTCTGTATGATCACCAAATGTGAAGAGGGATTCAACAGATGGAGCAATATGCTATTATGTGTTCTTTTCAATATGTTTCAGGTGTAGATCCACCATTGTTGATGTCAATAGGTCATATGGTGAGGTTTTGGTGTAACTTACAGGAGCTTTGGCATACATATGAATGCCATGTCTTCCCTCCTCTGTGAGGCTTGATCTGTACATGACTTTCTTATATGATGTTCATCTTTTGTGTGTATATATTTACATACACCAAGCAGGAGAGGAATTTAATCCAATTCTAGGGGACTTCAGTTTCATATCTGGTCTTAAACCATGAATCTGTTGATGGCCTTATTTCTTCAGCATACTTTCTGTCTACTATTACTATATTTCCTTTTGTGAAGATCTAAGCACAGCAAATTAATGAATATTTTTTGCTGGAGGAATTTGTTCACAGTTCTCAGAAAACGAAATTAAAGCAATGAAGAAAAATGTTCATATTAAAGTGTGCCAACAACAGGAAGCAGAAACAACCAACAATAACAATAATACAAGAAATCATAACATTCTAATTATTTAAGTTCGATGAAATACTTAAAAACATTTACATTTTTATTTATGATTTCTAACAAGACATTTTTAGATTTTTTTCCTATCGTTTCATCCTTTTTTAATTATTATAATTTTATTATATATATATATGTATATATATATAAGCTACACCTAATTATTTATGAATATAAATATGTTTTTATCTTTGCTAACAACTCAATATATGTTTTTGATATATGAATGAGGACATGGTGACATTTTAATACTGTATAAATTACACCTCAATGTCAAACGATCGATACACACTTGATACCTCAAGGTCATGTGACCAATGTGTGTCCAACACCTCGGCGTCATATAACATGATATCTCAATGTTATGCGGTTGAGCTAGTTGAACCGTTATCTTATCTTTATCTCGGATTTGGTGTGATATGATCGTAATTATAACATAGAGAAACACATTGAATCTCAAACTAACTTAAGCATTGGATAGATATTTGTAGAGAAACCAATCTAGTTTTTGTAGGGTTCGACACCCTCTAAGTTAGATGAACTAATCGCGAACCAAGATCAAATTGAGATAAACATGAAAGAATGCTATGATTGGCTCCAAGTTAGCTTCTAACTTAGACAACAAAAAATTGAGTTGATAATTTGGCTAGAAGGAGAGCACATCATTGCTAAAAGGCAATACGAGGCAATCATGATGATCTTCTAAATCCTCAATAGTTCATTGAATCGCCACATAGATATATTAAAAAAAAGGTCACGTGTGCTTGATGTCAAGCCATCATTATATGAAACGACACATTGACACAACTGCTCAAGGCCAAACCAACCTGCAAGCCAATCCTTAGAACAACAATGAGTAGAACAATAGCTTGATTCTGATGACGCGTAACCAAAGTAGCCTAGAGTGCATTCCGACGATGTGCTCCCAAATCAATCTAAAGCGCATTCCGCTTTAGCCAACACCTTAATGCCACACTGCTCAACACCTTAGTGTCACATGGTGACACCTCGTGCCACATGACCAATGCGTGTCTGACACCTTAGTGTCATGTTGGATGATATCTCGACATCATATGGCTAACTCAATCGAACCATTACCGTGTTCCAAATTAGGCATGACATGATCATAATCAAATCTGACAAAAACACACAACTCCTCCCCATGATTGACATGGGTCACGGAATAGCGACCCTAAGAGCCTACTATAAAAGGGCTCCCTATGTGTGTTCATTAAAGACACTTAAATATAGTTTTATAGCTCCTTCTGAATCCTCTAAATCTCAAACTAACTTAAACATTAGATGGACATTTATCAGGAATGCCCTTGATCTAATTTTTGTAGGATTCAACACCCTCAAGCAAACTAGTTACAGACTAACACAAATATGAAAAAAAACCACGATTCACTCCAAATCAACTTTCAACTAAGATAACATTTTTTAACTTAATAATTTTATATTTTTTTCTTTTTAATTATTCAAAACACAGCCCATAAATGAAAACATTTCTACATTAAGAATACAATCTTACAAATTTCTTATATTAGTGGAGGAATGAACAAGAAGCATCGAAAGTTAATATTTCGACTTAAAGGATACACATCTCTTTAAAGCATGGTTAGTGTTGCAAGGAAGAATCAACATCAATAGAAGACTTGTTATATCATTCCTTCATTGGAGACACATGGACTTGTTCATCTTCCACCTTCAATTTGGCCGACTCCTCTTTATCCATCGATCTTTTTAGGTTGACTTAGATGATGAAAATGAAAAAGAATTTGATAGAGTTGTTACTATATGTCGTGTTATTTAGAGGAATCGTAGACTATTCCATTAATTCAAAAATATTTGGTTGGCTTTAATTGGGAGAAAACATAAGAAAATTAGTTCATTAATTTTAAACCTGAGCTAATGATTGTAGAATCATCTACTAATATAAATGAAAAAAAGAGGAATTTCCCAATAGTAATTCAAAGCTATGGTGTACCACATCATACAATAATAACTTTCACATTTGGATCCCTTCATTGCACCTAATACGATTTTAAACTCAAGTTAATAGTATTGTTGCTCGTATAATAATACTAATTATCTTGTTATACGACTAAATCTTAGTGTCATAATCCTTATCTCTCATCAAAGCTTAAGGCTAATGCATAATGTAGATCCATGCCTTATTAGGTGATCCGTGGCCAAATCTTACTCTAACTTCACATTGTGATATATTAGATCGACTATGATACTAATTATCGTGATCTTATTTGATAAAAAAAATAATTCATTAACTTCACAAAACTAAAACTAATTTTTTTTAGAATCAAGATGCTTAAATTCAAATTAATGATAATAGATATATTGAGCGTAATATATCATTGTCGTCATTCCATTTTCAATGTAAGAACAAATCGAGATGTGATTCCATTTTCAATGTAAGATCAAATCAAGATGCGACAAAGATGCTTCATTTTGAAGGAAATCCAAAGAGAAGAAAATGGATATCACCTGATGAGATCTACATGATTTAGTTAGAATATTCCTCTTGATGGAGTTGAGTTATTTTCTTTCTCTAGAATGAAGGGTTTTATGAATGCAACTGATTTCCACAGATATTATGCAACCTTGTAAATGCAGATGGAAGCCAATCATCCTACTCTTCTTGTCCTAATTGTCAATTTAAACTCTTCTGATTCTTTTGCAATAATTGAAGTCAATGATACATTTACCTTCCACCACTTGTAGATCAATACATGTGACACATTATATTTGCAATGAAAGGAAAGAGATAAGAACTTGCAACTTTCTTCTTGTGTTTGTTCATTTAGATTGTCTCAGGAAGATCATGAGTTGTACTTCACATGAACAAAATGGTCTGTAGTCAATGATAGAGATTGCAATGAGCACGCAAATGACTAACTCTTCAGAAGACATGAGAGTGTGGCTTCCTCACTACCATATGAGATAAAGACTGTCTTATATTCTTAAACTAATCAAAAGCATTCTAAATTGTCTCTTAAAACTTCTTCTTGAGAGCAGATTAAGAGTTGGCAAGTCTGTTTAGCTAACCTGCATGGTTGACTTTCCAAACTGAAGAGAAAAAGTTCTTAAGGTAATTGATGTCATTGGAAACAGATGTTGGAGGCACTGATGCTTATAATGTCATTAAAGTTCTTAAGGATGTAATGATCCTTCTCTTATGTCAGCAATTTACACTCCTGTTCATGATGGGCAGTCTAACTTTCATCATCTCTATCATCAGTATATCCAACTATAGCTTCCTGATGATCATCCTTGGTTTCATTTGGTCAAAGGAAATCTAAACAAATGATGTTTGTAGATCATGCACCTAAATGTCTAATCTTCTGATACAAGTAATGGAAGCATCATGGATTGGGTAAAGATAATAATTGTTGTCATAAATTAGAGACAAGATTACCAACTTCAGCTTCTAGAGACACTGCACCCAACTGCTAATTCTGCACCTACTGCTCTCATCATTCATGTATATATACATTGCTAGAAATCTAAGGCAAGATGGAGACAGAGAAGTGATGGAGATGAAGAGGACCTGTTCATCTTGCATCTCTTCTTTCTTCTTCTTCTTCCTTCTTCTCCTGTGCTTCACTTCCTTTGTTAACTCCCAGTCAGACTCCTGCTCCTCCAAGCTCGGTGTTGGCAACCTCATCCCTTTCAACACCTCTTCCCTCACGTGCGTCTCTGCGTGGAGTTCCGAAGGTTTCATCCTAAGGGTATCGAAACACAATCCTTGTCGCATTTTGCAACACAACAGTCTGCTAATCTGATGCTTCAAGTGTTCGTGCATGGCCAGTATACAAAGGCAGGGCCGAGCCTGTGGAGCTTCGTCCTCTCGGCACCCGACACCGGAGCGTACGTCGCCATCGGCTTCTCCCCCGACGGCAAGATGGTCGGCAGCAGTGCGGTGGTCGGGTGGACACCTAGCGACGGCGCGGGGACCGTCAAACAGTACTACCTCGGCGGGTACAGCTCGAGCCAGTGCCCGCCGGACCAGGGGAGCCTGCCATTAGTGCAGAGGAGCTCGCTGCTGGTGTCGCAGAACTCGCGGCTGTACCTCGCGTTCCAGCTCAACACTGCGCAACCCCAACAGAACCTGATCTATGCCGTCGGGCCGTCGAACACCTTGCCGCCTTCCGGTGGTTCTTTGGCTACACATAGAGACAAAGCTTCCGGTACCTTGACTGCTCCTGCCACAGGCGGCGGCGGTGAGTGCTCCTCAGGTTAAGATCTGTCTGATCGAGTTTCTACGGACCTCCTCATCACTGATCATTGTCGTGTGCAGGGGATGATTCAGGCGAGGAGGGCGATGAGAATGAAGGAGGAGGAAAAAACCCAAATGACGGGCATCAAGAGGGCGGCGGTGGCAACAGCACACAAAGCGTCGGAGGACATAGTATGGTGACTACAGGGTCGGGTTGGGCCATTAATCTAGCGAGGAAGCATACTTCACTAACAGCCATCGCCCTGCTACTACAAATCTTCTTGCGCTGAATCTGAGTGCATGCATGTCGCCGTGTGATGTTCTTAAGCTTCTTCTCTTGTTCTTTATTTTCCTTGTAATTCTTTACTTTCTTGGAATAAAAATCCAATTCAGTAGATCGACTTAAGAGGAGGAGAATGGCTGCAGTCATGGTATTTGCGTGGTTAGAGGACATCAATCTCCACTGAAGTCTTCTCGCTCAGTTTAGTTCACAAACAGAGACAGAGATGAGCTATTTCAGTTTTGGGATCAGTTCATGTCACAGAACAGAGCAGAAGGCTCGCAGTGTCATTTGCTCTGAAACAGGCACAAAAGCAGAGCAAGTCAAAGGCAGAGTCAAATCATCGATGAACGAATATAATTGCATGCACAGGATTAATCTTCTTTGACCTCAACATTGCTCAGTAAAAGATTAAGAGGCAAAGATTTACGTGCAAACTCATACCTTATCAGAGCTCATCTTCAATCTGTGTACAAGATATTCCAACCATTGTTTCTTCTACAACCACAAAAGAACATTGTCTGATTTCTACCAGAGCTAAGACACGTACTGTGGAGAGAGTTCCATGTACAGTAAAGTAATAAGCGAGTTGGAAAGCAGTATTTTGACCACTATTGCACTAAGTCAGCACCAGAGGTTGATATGGTTTCCTGCGGCCTCTTTTACACAAGTAGCTGATTCCGAAGATGGCTGTTAGCATACCACCGGCGAGGACGAAGGACCAAGTGTGCTTTGTGAGCCCCAGATCCACTGCATCAATGAAGAGGAGTGAGTTCTAGCACAGTGTGGCTCTATTGCTATATGCAGATAGGAAGTGTCTTACAAGAACCAGGAAAGCTGAGAAATAGCATGGTCTTGCTCTTTGGTACAGCTTCAGCTACCAATACGTAGAAAAGCCCCATCACTCCTGTATGTGCTTGGTTGCTGCTGTAATTGGACTCCAGAGTCAACATCTCTCCATCCACGACTTGGACTGAGCCTGGCTTAGGGTAACAAGTAGACATCCCCACGATGTAGCCAGCTTCGTTCCCTGCTTCTTCCCCATCTCCATATGTCGGATTAGAAGTGCACAAGACCCGCCCGTCCTAATCATAAGCATTAGCAAGTATAAAGTAATGGTCAACCAGGAGACTGAATCATTTACGCTTAAGAATAAAATTATGCAAAAGCATACAAAGGCCAAGAAGCAGAATGTTTGTAAACAAGAAAACTCCTGCCATGCCCATACTTTTTATAGATGATTATAGTTTTCGGCAGTGCTGTATTCAACTGAAATTACTCCGACATTGTTGTTGCATCTAATTGAAGCATTTAACTCGAGCATACCGACTTCCAGAAAATATAATTTAGCTGAAAAGCCTAACACAGATCATCATTTTTTAGGGAAGAGGGTAGGTGGAAGAAGGAAAAAACACTTGAAGGAATTACTGCCTCCTTTGATTGCACTTCTTTGAGAAATTCATTTAATTGTACTTAAATTGGTAAAACCTGATTGCTTTAATTAATCAGGCAGCCCCAAGGTAAACTATGAGTTGGAGATAGGACTAATCCATTCACTGTTGTATTTTGGGATTTCCACTGTGTTCCTTTTGTTTCCATGGCCTTCTTGAATCACTTGGTAGTCACTTTTCTGATATCATAATCATAATATAAATTATTCTCTTCCTTCACATTGCCCAAGTTTTCAAACGAATTAATCTATCTATGTTTTGCCACCACCCTAGATGTGCTTAATCAAAAGACAAGCCTCCTCACATCTGGTTGAAAAGTCGATGACTTGCGCTTTGAGATACAATTGCCACAGTGGACTCTGAACACTAGAACATAATAAGGAAAAGAAACAAAGTTAAAAACCAGTTAAACCTTTCCAGTGGATGCCTAGTCATATGATCCTAGTTGTTACTGTTAAACTGACAGCAAATATGCAGATCAGGTGAGAGGCAAAAATTCAGTCTAACTGCAATAATCTGAGTTGGCAACTATAAATTTGAGTTAGCAACCCCTGTAAAACAAAGTAAAAGAAAGCTAATATATACAATCTTAATAGAACACAAAACTTTTAGCAGAATACATGTGCAACTTTTCGCCTGTCAGTTTTAGAATCTTTTTATGTGTCTGTCTCTTGACTAAACAAGACTGAAATCCTGATGTGGTCTAAAATTATCCATAATATCAGGCACAAAAGTGAGAACATCAGTTATGTGCTGCTAAAGAAACATGAATCCTCACCTGACCATAGAGAGTAGCACCTAGACCGGCTGAGTGCTGGTGTGCAACACCATACACAATATCACCCCCTGTGGGAATAACCAACTGTGTTCTTTTAGTATCCACGCATCCACCATTATCTTTGCAAGACTTGATTTCGTACTCCACCTGCATGTAATGTATAGCTACTGATAAGTAATTTATTAATGCAACAGATTATTATAGATATACTTCACGAGCAATCATGAACTTCTCCAATAACAACTAAAAGTATAATGTTTGATTTCGCAGCGCCATTGTACCTTGTTTAAGAATCGGCAGACCAGAAATATATTGTCTATACAGATGAATACCACATCAAAAATAGAAGCATCCAGTGGGGTGGTATAACACCAAAATTTTCATAATTTAGCACTTGGTTGTTAGAAAATCATGACTAATGGAGTTAGGTGACTTGAGAAAATAACATCTATTGAAAAGAGACCCAAAACACAGCTACTTCTAAATCAAAGAGTTACTCCTCAATGGATTTGGCACATACCTTACAACTCAGATTTAAAGGATTTTCTTTACTTGGATCAACTGAATGTTCTCCTGAATAAGTTACATCGAAGATATAGATCTTGACAGGTATAATGTTTTCAACCCAGTTGAGCCACTTGACTGTGTATTTAAGATACAGAATCCTGGAGACATTTTGAATGCCTGCCCTTACTTGACATTGTGTCTGGTCATAGCAACAATGCAATCCTCCATCATAATCTTTTGGCAGAGCCCGACCAAACTCATCCATGGTCACATTGTACAGACTGCACTTGCACTCTGTGCACCCGAAACGATCCTCCACACCTCGTGTATCGATTGCATGGACATTTAATAGCCATTTCTCCTTGTAACCATCCGGAATTTTCTCAGGGTTCCCGACTTCTATGCCATAGGGATCGGGGACCCATGTGGAAGTTCTGCGGGTTTCTGAACCAAGACCATAGTACTGCCCCAGAGTACCCTTACAGATTCCAGCATTTCTCATCCATATGAAATTGGAATGGTTGAACGCTTTCAACTCTGAATTTCCATCAGCAAGGCTTTCCTTTCTACCATAGTATCTCTCAATGATCCAGTGATGAAGATAAGTTTCATGAAGGGGGACAGGAATGCCATTCTCATCAATCACCTCAGCATCAAAGCTCTTGAGAGCGATATGGCCTTTCGGAAACGGGATGTTAAAGTAAAATTTATTGGCCACAGACCCAGGATGTAGAAAGAAAGGAGGAGAGAGGAAGACTGCAGATTTGATCGACCGATCTTTTTGCTGATTCATTGTTGATACACTGTCTGCTATACAAGATAACAGCACAAGTAACAACAATAGCCATAGCTGGTTACGTGACATTTTACCTGGAAAGAGGCAAGCAAATCAGCAGCTGTTAGTATTAGATTTAGACCCATACAAATTAGACAGCTAAAAACCTGTTTAGGCACTGTAAATAGAAAGGGTGACTGAATGAAGAGTTCTTCATGTTTGCTAACTCACATTTCAGTCAAAGGCCCCTCGGATTTAATTATTAAGAAACACCAGGCTTGACAATCTTATCCCAATGTCATTCAAAGTCTCATGACAACCCAAAAAAGAGGATGCAATAGATGAATAGGTGCTGCATGACCTGTTCTTGCCCTCTCATGTCAAAAGACAATTCTTTAACCATAGCTCATTTTCAATTAAAGAAGCTAGTTGAGTGTCTCATACAACCACAATGGTAAGTCAAACAGATGGTATGTGACCTTCAATCAGATAATCTAGTTGAAAATGTCAAACTACTCTACCGGGTAAAATACAGGGTTAGCAGACCTTCTGAAAAGGAAATCTGTAAATTCCTGCTTCTTCTGCAATAACCTTGGAAGCTATAAGGCAACATATTCTCTTACAAGGATTAATTGGTTGAATCAGCTATACAGCATGAATCCAACATAAACCGAGGAAGCGATGCAGATCATGTATTCAGACGTGCAAGCCCTCAATCCACAACTTCTTGTTCATCTTTCGGCTACAGACTCCTAAATCCGACTCGATACATCAAAAAGTTAGGAAACATGCGTACCACAAAATACCAGCAAAATCTGATCTTTAAATCGTGCAATACATTAATTAGCAATAACTTTCGCAAGAACTATCGCAAGAGAAAAAAGGGCATCCGACTCTTCCCACCAAGACAGTACGAAACCTGGTAAATCATGTGCCAAATCCATAGATATCACGATCGAGGACAAACGATTAAGAAACCGGGAGAATCAAACGGAAGAAGGGAAAGAGAGAACACTCCCCCAATGGTTGATCAAACCAGAGACAATAAAAAGAGAAGAGGGTTCATCAAAGTTTGGCTCTTTTACCGTTCTTCACCTCAACGCCGGAGCGGGGACGCAAGCGCCGAATCCTCTCTGGTCGTTGCGACGGTGGCTAGAGAAGATATAGTAACCTCGGGCACGGAGACCTCGGGAGGCGCCAACGTCATGGAGACTTAACGTAATGGCGCCACGAAGGCCGCTCGATGTCATGCCTAAGCGGTGGCACATTGCACGCTGTCTCTTGCCATTTTGAATGGAATATTTACTGGACGCTTCAATTGGCTATAATTTATGAACGAGATTTTTGAAAGAGAACATAGATTAAGTTAGGCTTAATAACACCATCATTTTTCATGTTGTTCAATATTCTTTTTTTATTATTTTTTTACAAAAGATATCTCCTATTTTATTTTTCTCAAATAGGTCCCTAATTCAAATAATACACAAAAACATTCCTCGCTAATCCGAATAACAATTTTTTTCTTTAATTTTTCTTTAATATTTTTTTATTAGTTTTAAAGCATGTTATATTGGATATGACGTAGCATATGTTAGTATCACATACAGTCGACGTGTCGTCATCTTAGCCACTACTATCATGTAACTACCGACCAACTTATCTCCGTGTGAATGCATCATCAACGTTCAATATCTGTTATGAACAGTATGACATACCCACGAACAGTCCAATATCTGTTATAAGCAGTTAAAAGCATTTGTAACCAAAAGACACAACCATCCTGAACAGATAATATAACAACCATCATTGATTTAAGTGTCGAAGGGGCATTATCATGATTTCCCCCCTCATTTAGTTTTGTAAGATCGACTCAAAAAAAATCATGATGAATTCGAGTTGGCTTGCAATCCAGAATTAACTTTAACTATTTTCATTTGGTTTATTTATAATGGCTTTAAGTGTGCTTAATAGTATTTTTATTGTGATATTAAAAATACTATATATTATCGGAGTTGGCGAGGGATATTTTAGATAGTATTCAAAATAGAGATATCATT